ATTGTTAACTCGGGATTATATAGAAGGACAACTTGTAGCTTTCTAGCTTAAGATCATGCTGACATCAGTCTGTAATTCACAGTTTTACATCCTGACATTTTTTCACATTGTATCATGTAGTATCAGAAATATTCTAGCCTAATTTTCAAAGTTTACCACTTAAACCAGAACAATTTCTTGAATAATGAAATTGGAAATGAGAAACTTAAATCCCCACCACCATCACCACGGAAGCTTTCCATATACGTATTTCAGTTTCTGAGCTTCTTATTTTGGTTTCCTTAATCAGTATGCCGGATTATTTTCCAACATGGTTTCCTTGCTTTAATACTGCCACTTTATAAAACACATTAATGACCAAAACAACAATTTGGCCCTATTCACCCATCTGTTTTCCTTCTCATTTCCAGGAAGATTAATGACAACGAATGTAACTAACACATATTTCTTCCTCAGTAAATGCCAGATGTTGTACTAGGATCTGGACATAGCAACAGACAACTTATTTATAGTGCTTGTTAGGTCACAGGCACTTCTCCAGGTGCTTTTCACATATTGCCATGTGTTAATTCATTTAATTTTTGCAGTAGCCCATGAGGTAGAAACTGTTACTATCTGTTACTACCTTTGAGTCACGGTTAAAAGGAGCAAAAAGAACTTGAGTCACAGCGAGTTACTTGCCTTGGTTCATATAGTTTAGCACCAGGATTGAAATCCTGATGGATCTGATTTCAAATCCTGTGCCCATAACCAATCCTGTGCGACTCTGTGTCAAGGCTGAAATGAGTGGTACGAGAGGGCCCACTGAGAGTCTGGTGGGCAATGATGGGTGTGGTGTCTGGAGCCAGTGACCCCTGACTCCAGGCTTCTGGGCAAGAAACTCGTCGTTGCACACGGTTGCCCTGTACCATCTCTCCTTTTGTGGACTGTGCGGGAACTGTTTCTCTGGTGTTCAACTTGAAGTGAAGTAACAGGGACAGACAAGATGTACACGGACAGGAAGGAAGGAGGGCTTCCAGAGGGGAGCATATCACCAGGATGAATTCAGTTCCCTAGGGGCTTTTTCAATGTGTGTTTCATTGTCTTCTCTGTATTCACCTCACCCTCTCCTTTCTGACCCACACATCCATCCCTTGGCCTTTTCACTCTGTATGTCATGCCCCTTCCTTGCCATGTCTACTTGATTCCAATGACAGTCATTTCTACTTCTCCCAGGACAATATCAGCCACTCTCTGGTCCCGTCATCCTTCTGTCCCAAGGCACCTGTAAGGCACAGCCATATAATTATATGTATATATTTAGACAGAGAGCGATTTATGTGATAAATTCAAAAAGTGAAATGTCTGGATCAAAGTGTAAGAATGACTTCTGAATGGTTAGGCATATCGCAGAAAATTAGACTCACACACGGTTACTGGAAGGGTATGGTGGTGTAAATCTCATGGAAAATACCACTTTATGCTTAAAAATATTCATGTGCTTCTCCTGGGAATGGTAGATCAGGGACTCAAAATCTTACACCCACTTTGAAGCCCTGGCTGTGTTCCACTGGGTTTTTTGGTCTCCCCCGCTGGGGGTGCTCTGTAACCCTGGTCAACCCGCGGATATTGTTCCATTACTTTTGTGTGCAGAGAACTCTATTACTTTCTTATTTTAAAACTGTCAATTCAAATATTAAAACACCGAGAGGTTAAAAAAAAAAGAAAAAAGCGTATTCTGAACAAGAAACAAAATTTGGCCATATATAATACATGACACATGAAAAGAAATGTGCGGTGGTCTCCAGTGTTGTGTGGCGATGCATTTCCCAACATGACTTGGAGTCATGCCTATCTGTAACCTAATTCTAGAAGCATGTAACACAAAATACAAATACTTGCTTGCATGGGCTCCATGGACACACAGACCCACACTCTTCCCTTTCCCTGAGACAGGGATGGTACTTCCTGTCTGTCGGAAGGCTGAGTGAACACAACATGCCTGTAGGTCCAGAACATTCTTCCTACAGAGACCCCATGCCCAGAAAGCTCTGTCTGCTGGATTCAGGGAACGCCTCTCCTCATTTCCGTCACTGCTGTTTGCAAAAGCCTCCTTCTCTGAGATCCTCAAAGCTGCCGTTCTAGCCTTAGTCTGTAGGGAGGTACTTAGTTCTATTTCTAAGGATACATTAATGAAAAAAATATTAATGTTGCAGAAGAAAAAAGTAGTTCATTCTAGTTTTGCAAGCAGGTTATGAAATAGTTTTGCAGCCCGAATAGGTCTGGAATAAATACAAATACATGTCGGTAGAAATGGTTGAGGTGGATGTATTCTCAAAAGTGGTTTTGCCAATGATCCCAAACCTACATCACATGCATTCTTTTAACAAATATTAATGAGGCCCTTCTTCTGTGCCACAGACACCACCCGCCCAAAGTGACTCCTAATCTGAAAACCCGTGGCCCAAACAGATTTCACCCATCTGGTCGAAGACAGAGATCTCCACCTTATCCAAGCACCTGGTTCCCACCCCAACAGGAGTGACTAACACAAAACATCATCCCTGGCCTGCTCACCAAAGTCTGTCCTTGAGACCCGAAAGCTTGCCATTTAAGGGAGAACCAGTGCAGTCACTGGAGGAGCACTCAGGGTGTAGAGGCAGACCAATATCGGTGACGACATAATTCCTGTTCTGCCACTTACTTGGCTGGGAAATGTACCCGACGTCTGTGAGCCTCATATCCATGATCTGAAAAGAGACTGTGGATACGATTGTCATGGGATTTCTGTGAGGAGCTCAAGAGAAACCTAGTGAGTGTGCCCAACACGGAGCAACTGTTGGTTGCCACTGGGCAAGTGTTGGCTTTCTTCTTACCCCATTCTTTCCGTGCCGTAGCAGGGATGCTGATGCACTCAGTGGCATGGCAGTGACATAGGCAGAATTCCAGAATAACACAGGAAGTACCAGTAGGAATGCACGTGATGTCATAAAGGATACTCACTACTATGTCTGTGTGGGAGGATCAGCCAGTACATGGTGGGGCCGGAGGGGAAGTCCAGGCAGTCTGGGTGAGAAGCACTAGCTGGTTTAGAGTACTCTTGGGATCGCCTGTAACACTGGCAGCGCAGCTACGAGACAGGGATTGTGCTGAGATGCCAGAGTTCAGCAAGTGGATGTGCGCCTGTGTGTGTTCTGTCTTCAGCGTCTCTCTCTCTCTCTCTCTGTCTCTTCCCTCTGTGGCTTTTTATCATCTGTGCTGTCTTCCAACACAAAGCCTTGCCTGAGGCTGTAGCTGTAGCTGTTGGATAGCTCACTTTTACACCTTCTTCCCCTCAGTGACATTATTTCTGAAGTAATGCTGGTTCTCAGAAATGACGGTGACTCTTCCTGTGCTCCATATATTCACCACGTGCCCTTCACCCTCACTTTAATCTTTGATTTTTTTCCCTTTCATTTATGGACTTTCCTGAAAATGAGTTTGTTTCCGGGCATCCTCCAAATGTCAGCAATAGGGGTCCTTGTTGTTGCTGTTGTTGTTGTCGTTGTCACTGTAGCTGCGTATTGTTATGTACTCCTAGCTTTTTAACATACCGATGGGCCCCAAACCCCTGTTAAAGGATTTTGAGTAGAGGGATGACAACATTGGACTTAGGCGTTAAAAAGGTCCCTCTGCCTGCTGTGTTGAAAATAGATGGTAAGGGAGCCAAGGGCAAAAGCGGAAGGACAGGTTGGATGGCAGCATAATGCAGGAGACAGATGTTGGTGACCTGGCCAGGGTAGGTAGCAATGGAGGGGGTGAGAAGTGGCCAGACTCTGGATATATCTTAAAGGTAGAGCCAAGAGAAGATACATCCATCCTGATCGGTGGGATGTAGAGTGTGAGAGAAAGTGAGCCCTCCAGGTCCACCTCCAAGTTGTGGGGACCGAGCATCAGGAATGTCTAGGTCAAACGCTCTGCCTACATTTAATATCCCTTCTAATGGCACACAGGGAAAATCCCAGAACAGCCGAGAGGAGCAGAACTGTCCTGACAGTGGGTCACACACAGTGAAAGCAGTGACCCGCCGTCCCCAGCCCCCACAGAAGTTCATCTGAGGCCCGGCCATAATCAGTAGTACATTGCAGAGAGATCAGCAGTGACCGAAATTTTATTCATACGGGTACCCTGAGACGACGTGTACATTTTGAGATTGGTTGAGGTCTGTTTGATGCCCCAGGAGATGGTCTACCTTCGTGAGTGCTACAAGACGGTAGAGGGGGAAAGAAAAAGCATGCTCTGCTTTCGTTGTTGGGCACAGTGTTTTACTTATGTCCTTCAGATCCTGTTACTGTAGTGGTTTTCAATATCCTTGCTGATTTTCTTTCTTTCTGGGAATTCTGTCACTTGCTTGGGAAGAGTTGTCTCTTGGGCTGAAAGCATTTCAGGCTGGACAAAAAGAAAGCCTGCTCTGGATATTTCCAACTGACTATTGTTGAGGGCAAGGCTGGAGGTAGGGGGGCAGCTTCAGAAGCTGTTACATCAGTGTCACTTGTCATTAAAGCCTGTGCTACGCCGGGAAAGAAGTACAGCTTGCTGATGGTTCACAGAATGCATTTGGGGGACTGGATTTGGGAGGTGCGAGAGAGGCTGTCTCCCAGGTGTTGGTGTGGTCGGTGTGTTAGATTGGAGAAGCCCGAGAGAAGGCAAGATTAGGACCCTCTCCAGGTGTGCGTCTGGTATCTAGTCTAAGCTATGGACACGCGCACCTCTGTTCTGTGTAATTCCTGCTCCATTTTTTTTAAGAGGTTCAACACAGTTGCTTCCTCTCCCAAGATTCCTCCCCTGATTGTGCCACCTGTGAGATAAGGCCCTTGTATCTGGACAGGCAGAGGAGTTTGTTTGCTGGGGCTTGTGCGACCGGTCCCTTGGGGCGGGTTGGCGCTCTGCTTACCCTACCATGGAGTTAGCCCACGGCACGGTAAGTGGTAAGCGGGCCATTGACGTGTCTTCGAACTTCTCTTCTTGTTCCCCGTTGCAGGACGCCATGACCATGGGAGAACGAAAGGTGGGAGTCCTTTCCAGGATAATTTTGACAAGAGGAACCCTCGTTATGAACACGGTGGGCATGAGCTTCTGCCTTCAGAGCGCCAGGAGAATGATGGAAGCGTGGAGATGGGGGATGTCCACAAGGACCGCCAACTAAGACAGTAAGCGACCAGGCAGCCTGGTTTGCACGTAGCAGTCCCCCGGGACTGTGCAACCCTTTTGTTCTCCGTGGTCTTCCTTCTTTTCTCTCACTAGAGAACTGAGGAATGCTGGAAGCAGAATAATGGCTAAGCAATCCTAACTGTAGCCCTGGCGTCAGTGAGGGGAGCGTGTATAGAAGACTTCCTTAGACTTAATGGATACCGGCCTTCTCGCCTCTTCCCCACAGCACTCCTTATAACATCGAACGCAGCAGGAAGCTAGTGAAATGGCATAGTGAAGATCAAATCTATACTACCACGTGGAGAAACAGAAAACTTCCAGAGAGAAAAATGATGGAGGACACGCGAGATGGAAAAACGAGGGCCTGGTTCAAGGTCACAGTGAGTATCTTGGTGAGGTCTGCATTAGGTAGACTACTCTGGAACCTGATAGAAAGGAGACCACATAAAACACCCTAAGTTGATTATTTGGAGGAGAGCTTCAGAATGAGGGGAAAGGGAGTTTAGGGAATCCATATTTGGCACACAAATAAATAAGAAATCATGTCAGGGGTCGCTTTTTTAGAAGTCCAAACTACGTAGAAGGTTGGAATAAAAAAGAAAGAAAAAAGAGCTGGTTGGTTCTGTTCTCCATCGTTTGTTCCATATTGTCTCTCCCTTCTCTCCTATGTCTTCTTTTTACCCTCAGATTCCTTATGGGGGAAAGTATGACAAGGCGTGGCTAATGAATTCAATCCAGAGCCATTGCAGTGTCCCCTTCACTCCACTCGATGTAAGAGAGCATGGTGAAGCCAGATGAGTGGGCACGGGGTACGGGGAGAGGCCTGGCTCAGCAGGGGCCATTGGCCTCCGACACCGTTGCTCTTGCCCTCACTCCCTGTAGTTCCACTACTTCCAAAATCGGGCACACTTCTTTGTGCAAGGTGCTGGTACTGCCTCCGCTTTGAAGGATGTCAACTATACGATTTGTGATGACCAGAACCGGAAGGTGTGTGCGGAGGGCATTCCCTGTCCTTAGTCTCTGGGCAGGAAGACAGGCCAGGAGGCTGGTCACCCTCATTGGGATTAGAGGTCCTGGTACTTACCCTGCCTCTCCTTCCTGCAGATATGTATATTTGTCAATCAGTCTACTGCACCCTACTCTGTGAAGAATAAGTTGAAGCCAAGCCAAATGCAGTTGCTAAAGGTAATACAGACTCCAGGATCATTGCATACCCACTTCCTGGATGCACCTCTTCTTCCCCTGGCCCCCTCTTTCCCTGTCACCACCACCACCACCACCACCACCACGAGAACCTCAGAGTCTCTGTCTTCATCTCGACCTCTGCAGCTGACCATGGACAAACGATATGATGTCTCCAAGCAAGCTCTTGATCTCCAAAGTCTCCGCTTTGACCCAGGTATGGCTGACAGCAGCAATTCTAAGGCAAGTGGGGGGCAAAGCAGTCTGCCTGGGAGGGAGACTTAGGAATGGCAATTTAGGGAGGGGTTGGTGCTGGCTCTGGTCCAGCCAGGGCCCTCCCAGCCTTCTGATTCCGTTCTCTTGGCTTCCCGAAGACATGACGGGCCATGATATTGATATAATCCTGAATCGAAGAAACTGCATGGCTGCCACCCTGAAGGTCATTGAATCGAATTTCCCTGAGGTGAAGCCTTAGGCCAAGTGCTGGTTTTTGGTTAGAGGGGTGGAAGAGAAAAGGTGGAGGGCAGATTTGTCTCCGAGGCCCAAGACAGTAGCTGCCACACTAACTCTTCTTGACCCAAAGCTACTGTCTTTGAACTTGTGCAACAACAAACTGTACCAGCTGGATGGCCTGTCTGACATTACAGAGAAGGCCCCCAAAGTCAAGACCCTGAACCTCTCCAGAAATGAGGTGAGAAGGAGGAGCCAGATCAACTTTGGGTGGAGGATGGATGGCAGTACACGTCAGGATGTTGGCAACAGGCAGGCAGAGGTGTCTGGTGTCTGTAGGTGACTGTGAGGGTTGGGGGAATTTGGGGCCCAGGGTCCCAGGTGTCTGTCTTTCCCTGGCCCTCCTCCAGTTTTCTCCCCATCTTTCTTAGCTGAAGTCGGTGTGGGAGTTGGGCAAGGTGAAAGGGCTGAAGCTCGAAGAGCTGTGGCTAGAAGGGAACCCCTTATGCAGCACCTTCTCTGACGAGTCTGCCTACGTAAGGTCAGTGGCAACCCCTGTCGCCCTTCTTGGGCGTCTTTGCTCCCTGCATAACAGCTGTATCTGAAGGTGCCCCACTGCAGGAAGAGGCAGCCTTGGTCCTCTGGGAGGAACCACAGACCTCCTCCCCTCCTACACACACACACACACACACACACACACACACACACTCTCTCTCTCTCTCTCTCTCTCCCCCCCCCTCTCCCTCTCTCTCCCTCTCCCCCTCCCTCTCCCCCCTCCCTTCCCCTCCCCCTCCCCCTCCCCCTCCCCCTCCCCCTCCCTCTCCTCTCTCGGCATCACTCAATCATCTATGCTTAGCTGTCTCCTTTCCTTCCTCTGACACGCTCCCCTTTTCACCTGCTCTGGGGTGCCTTTCCCTCCTGTCTCCGCCCAGCCTCCTCCAGCAGTCTTCTGTGGGTGTGCTCCAGGAAGTGGGGCTCCCCCACCTCCCCAGGACCAGCAGTATTCAGATGCTGGTGCCCTGGACCGAGAAGAGTCCTGTGGCCCTGGGCCTCATGCTGAGACCGGCCTTCCTGCCTCCATGGTGAGATGCGACTTCCCTCCACTCTCCCCCGAGAGGGGTTCTCCTTCTCTTGCTCCAGAAAGGTCCCCACACCTGTCCTGGGCTGGCGTGGGCACTTCCGTGCCCCATGCTGGGGGGCGAGGCCCTGGGTGGCTGCTGTCGTGCCGTCTCTTCCTCTGGCCCAATGCCAGAAGCTGGGCCCCCCTAGAGGAGAAACCTGGCTTTAAGGAGTCAGGGAACCAGAAGTGGGCCACATTCCCGAGTCAGCACTGGGCAGAAGAGGTTGAGGAGACAGAAAGACAGACCTCTCAAGTCACTGCCCCTCCTTCCTTGCACACCTCACATTGTCTTGCCTGGGCCCTCAGAGGAGCCCTGGGTAGCCAGAGACGGGTAGCCTTCCTCGGTCAAGGTGCCAGCACATTGGGGTGCAGGCACCAGGGACCACCAGAAGACAATGCAGTGGCCGGGAGAGGGGGTCCCCAGACTCTGAACACCATGCCGAGCTGGGGTCTGATGCTTCACTCCTCCTGGGAGAAGGTCTCCTGTCCCCGTGGCTGCTCTGTCTCCCATGCCCAGCTCAGACTGAGCTCACACAGGTGAGAAAGGCTCCAGCTGCATCCAGTGGGCCCGAGCCCAACAGGTACATGTTTTCCTTTCCTGCCTCGGTCTCCAGGGCCAGCCAGGGGGCGGTGAAGGAAAGGGCTGCAGCAGGGGAGCCCTTTTCTCCTCTCTTCCTCCCTGAAGTCCACCGCCACAGTAGAGCATCTTTCCCTTCCCTTTGCTTTGCATCCTGATTCTCCTTTGTCTCTCATCTCCCACCCCTACCTTCACCCCATTTCTACTGTCATCACCCCCGCCTTCCCCTTCCTGTCCCCTGAGCCCGGCCTCACTCACCTCCCTGTCCCAGCACCCCGGGCCATCCCTAAGGGCTTGCCTGCTCTTGGCCAGGTTGATGGACAGCCAGTGAGGTAGCAGAGCCCTGGGTTCCCACCCCATTTCCTGCTCCCTGCGGAGCCTTCCATGTTGCATGTTGGCTTGGCAAAAGATGAGGAAGAGAGGGAGGGGAAGAAAGCCCTGGAGCCTGGGCTCCCAATGCTGCTTCTTGTGGCGCTGGAGAAAAGGGAGTCAGGGCAGTCTAGGTGGAAGCTAACCAGGACAAAGGAGAGGGAGAGAGGCCACACAACCCTGAACTGTCAGTCACTTCATTCTATTTTTGGTTTCGGACAGTGCCATCCAGAATTGTTTCCCCAAGTTGTTACGCCTGGTAAGTATCTATCATACCGTCAGTCTCCTCCTACTCAAGAACATGACCTCCACACCTGCCCTCAAGTCCTTTGGGTCTTGCCTAGACTACATGCTTATATCAGACCCTCGTCCATTTTAGAGGCATGGATTCCTGAAAAGGACAAGAATATTCTGCCTGGAAAAATGTGTCCATAAACACACACGCACACAAACACCCATGCTGGCATGTAATTGCAGAGATGTCTGGCACCTCATGAGAAAGCCGCCCACCGGAAATTCCAGGGCCATTTCCCACCTGGCCTCTGATGCTTTTTCTCCCCGGGAAGATGTTCATCTTACCGGTCATCCGGCTCCACCTCCTTGGTCTCCACTGCTGACTTCCTCTTTCCTTCTCCAGGACGGCCGAGAGTTAGCCCCAGCAATGAATGTTGACACCGACAGCTCTGAGTTAATGAAACCCTGCAAGGTGAGGAAGAAGGACCAAGCAAGATTTGGAGTGTTGTAAGGGAGGCTTTGTCCACTGCATAGGTCCAAATTGTCTTTTGATTTCAGGAAAGCTGTAATGGATCTGAGACCCTAAAGCATACAGTCCTGCAGTTCCTGCAGCAGTGAGTATCCCTGGGACCATGAGGAAGTGGAGGGCTGAGGCAGGCTGGGCCACCCATGAACAGGTCAGTTCATGGGGGTTCTCCGGTCTCATCTGGGGCCCAGGCCACAGAGACAGCCTATCCTCACTGCTTTCCCACAGATATTACTCAATCTATGACTCTGGAGATCGACGGGGTCTCCTTGGTGCTTACCATGAGGAGGCCTGCTTCTCCACGACTATTCCCTTCAACCCCGAGGACTCAGCCCCGTGAGTATCAGGGCTCAGACCCTGCTCCATGGCCGTGTGTCTCCCCAGCAGACACAGGCCAGCTCCTGGAAATGTCCGCACCGGCCGGACCACCCACTCCTGCTCCTCTTTCTCTCCTAGGAAGAGCTTGAGCCAGTACTTCGAGGATAGCAGGAATATAAAAACACTCAAGGACCCCTGTAAGTGTGTGAGGGGGAAGAGTGGGCAAGGTAAGGGGGTGTGGCGGGAGCAATCACAGAGGCCACAGATCAGAGTGTGGCAGCCCCCGACCCCCATTCGTTCCTTCTCCTCTCCTCTACAGACCTGAGGGAGGAACTGCTGAAGCACACAAAACGTGACATTGTGGACTTCCTCAGCACGTTGCCCAAGACTGAGCATGACCTCAGCTCCATCCTGGTGGACATGTGGTACCAGACAGTGAGTACCTGCTTCCTCCCTTGCGCAGGCCCAGAGAGCCAGAGGTGGGTAAGGAGGTTAATGTGGATCCTGAGCACTTGAGCCCTTCCCTTTCAGAAGTGGATGCTCTGCTTTTCTGTCAACGGGGTGTTCAAGGAAGGTGAGTGTCTGTAGAGTCCCCTCCCCAGATCCCCGCTGCTTCCCGCCACCTGCTGGGCTCCCTCTCAGAACTCTCCCAGCTTCCCTGATTTTGTCCCTTTCCCTCCTGTTCTTCCCTCCACGTTTTCCCACCCTCACTGTGCCCGCAAACCACCCTGGTCTGAACTAGGTCCATGCCTGTCTGCCCTGCTCAGCTCAGGCGTGCTTTAAGGACACAGACTGTGGAGTTTGACAGCTCTCATCCCAGGTTCCTACCCTGTGAACTTGTGCTGGTTACTTAACCCTTCAGTTGCCTCATTTGCAAAATCGGACCAACAATAACCCATCTCTTGGGCTACTGTGAAATAGGAATCAAGTGAACTTGTGGTTTTCACGGGGCCCCACACATGATAGGGGCCCTATCACTGGGAGCGGATTGTTCCCATCGTTGCCCTCCCCATTCCTGCCATGTCCTCCTGACTCCATGTGAACAGTTGTCCTGGTCTACCCCCCTTCTGTGTGAGTGTCAAGCGAGACTCTGACTGGGGATCACTGTGTGAGCATGTAAAGCCTGTACAACTCTAAGGTGGTGGTGTTTGTTGTCTTTGAAGTGGAAGGACAGTCTCAGGGTTCTGTTCTCGCCTTCACCCGGACCTTCATCGTTACCCCCGGTAGCAGTTCCAGGTTAGTGCTGTGTTGTGGGTGGTAGCACCCATCCCAGCCTGGGGATAGTGTTGTGGGAATGTGGTGGGTGCAGTCCTTGGAGTGTTCTCAATATTGTGGAAGGCCGACGGGTAGATCCAAGGAGCAGTCTTGCCTAGTGTTTAAGAGTGTGGGCCCTGGAGTCAGAGTAGGGTTCTTTTCCTCACCTCAACACTCACAAACTGTGTGACCTTCATCAACTTAGCCGACCTCTCTGTGATTCGGTGCCTTTCTCTGAAAACCGGAATAAGGCTATCCACTTCCTTGGGCACCTGTGCAAGGTAAACGTGTTGGGCTTAGATCTGAAAATCTAGTGAAGCTGGTAGACAGTCTCTCCAAAAGTGGACTCCGTGGGAGGGTAAGAGGGTACCAGCCAAAAAACTCTGGGAGGGGGCCACAGTAGGGATATGGAAGGAATTTGGTTGTTGAGTGGCAGTGGTTAAGAAGGATCCTGTTGTCGGGGGTGTGGAGTTGTCTACCTATCCGGTTTGAGGGTGCATTTTTCTTTCCTCCAGTCTGTGCATCGTGAATGACGAGCTATTTGTGAGGGACGCCAGCCACCAAGAGACTCAGAGTGCCTTCTCCATCCCAGTGTCCACACCCTCCTCCAGCTCTGAGCTCTCCCTCTCCCAGGAGCGGCAGGAAATGGTGCAGGCTTTCTCTGCCCAGTCTGGGATGAAGCTGGAATGGTCTCAGAAGTGAGTGCTGAGAGTACATAGGGATGGGGGGGTTGGGACATCAGAGGAGTGAGCAGTGGAGACTCACGTGCAGTTTGGAAAAAATAACAACTGGGATATTTTGCTTTGAAAAAGAAGTGGGCCCATGAAAAAGGTATCATGCTTTTAAAGGTATAGGTAAATAAGTGTTCAAATGGCACAATGTCCAAATGACATTACCTTCCGTATGTAAAATCTGCAAGAATCCAGCACAACAGACTACTATAAAGTTCAGCAAGGTTGCAAGATACAATATACAGAAATCATTCGCACTTCTGTGTACGTAGTTGCAGGGGACAATCCAAGAAATGAAATTAAGGAAAGAAGTCCATTTACAGTAGCATGAGAAGAAATAAAATAAGTAGGAACAAACTTAAGCACAGCACAAATCTTACACTCTGAAATCTGCAAAACTGCTGACAAAAACGAAAGAAGATTTAAATAAATGGAAAGACATCCCCTATTCATCAATTGGAAGGCTTAATATCATTAAGATGCCAGTACCGCCCAGAACAACCTACAGATTGATTGCAGTCCCTGCCAGAATCCCAACTGGCTTCTTTGCAGAAATTGACAAGGTAATCCCAAAATTCATGTGGAAATGCACTGGACCCAAAACAGCCAAAACCATCTTGAAAGAGAGGAACAACATTAGAAAACTCACACTTGCCGAATTCAGAACTTGCTACAAAACTACATTAATCAAGAGTGCATGGTCCGGATGTAGGAACAGACAAGGGAATCAATGGAATAGAATTGACAGTCCACAGATAATCCGTCATTTATGTTCAGTTGATTATCATTCAGGGTGCTGAAAAAAATCCAGCGGACGAAAAAAATAGTCTTCTTTACAGATGTTGCTGGGACAAGTGGATATCCTCTTGCAAAATAATTACTTTTGGCCCCTAACTCACATCACGTGCAAACACTGACTGAAAATGGATCAAGGACCTGAAAGTAAGAGCTAGAACTGTAAAACACTATAAGATGTATACATCATGAAGATATACCTCTTCATGAAGATGTACACTTGAATTAGGCAACCATTTCTTACATAGGAAACCAAAAGCACAAGCAACCAAAGGGGGAAAAAAGGGTAAATTGGACTTCATCTAAATTAAAAGCTTTGGTGCATCAACAGACACTATCAAGAAAGTGGAAAACCGACTCGGTGGAACAGGGGAAAAGATTTGCAAATCACATCGCTGACAAGAAGAAACCTTGCAACTCAACAAGAAACAGACAAGCCACCCAGTTAGAGAATGGGGCGATGATTTGAATAGACGTTTCTCCAAAGAAGACCAACAAGCACGTGCAAAACTTCTCAACATCATTAGTCGTTAGGGGGATGCATATCAAAACCACACTGAGTTACCACTTCATACCTGCTAGGATAGCTTTAATCAATGAAAGAATAATTACAGATGTCGGGGAGAATGCAGAGAACCTGGAAATCGCATGTATCACTGCTAGGAACATAAAATGGAGCAGTCGCTGGGGAAAAGATTTTGGCAGTTCCTCAAAATCTTAAATACGGAGTTAACACATGACCCAGTAATCCCACGCCAAAGGAAATGAAAATATATGCCCATTCAACAACTTGCACATGAATTTTCATGGTGGTATTATTCAAAATAGCCAAAAAATGGAAACACATCGAGTGACCTTTAGCTGATGAATGGATAGATTAATGTGGCGCATCCATACGGTGGAATACTATTGCAAAATTATTCATTCATACATACAAAAGGATGTAGTTGTGATGTATACTATGACATGGGTGAACCCTGAAAACATTGTGTGCTGAGTGAGAGCAGCCAGTCAGAAAAAGCCACATAATTACATGATTCCATTCACATGAAGCGTTCAGAACGGGCAGGTCCCCGGAAACGGAGAGCAGAGTAGTGGTTGCCAAGATCCGGGGAAAAGGGAGGACGGGGAGTCGTCTCTAACAGTTAAGGAGTTTCTTTTTGAGGTGATCAAAATAGTTTGGAATTAGATAGTTGTGATGGTTGCACAATCTTGTGAATATACGTAAAAGCACTGAATTGTACACCTTAAAATGGTGTGACTGCTACAGTACGTGCATTATATCTCAATCAAAAAGAAACGTATTATTGAATTTCCACTTGTTATTTATTGAACATCTTTCTTTACCAGTATGTATTAAGCTCCCTTGTTCATTTGAATACCCCTGTTTTTCTGATTGGGATTCTGGTGGGCATGAATGTCAGGGATAGGCGTTTTGGTTTTCCTTAGGCCTTTTTTCATGGTTACAAGAGTGCTCATATTGATACGTGTGTCCCGGAAGAAAGGTAGCATAGAGTAAGTGTGGCATTGCCCGGTCGGCATGCCTGTCCTGGGGCAGTAATGGAGAGCACCTGTTCTTCTCCCACCCCAGGTGCCTTCAGGACAATGAGTGGAACTACACCAGAGCTGGTCAGATCTTCACTGTGCTCCAGGTGAGGTCTGGGAATCAAGTGGGCAAAAGACGGCTGTCTCTGGGCCGTCAGGAGGGCCAAGAAGATGGAGTCCGGGTAGCATGGGGATGGAACTCAGGGCACCTGGCTCTGCTGACATCCCAACTCCTTCTTTTCTTTACTTCCTCTAGACCAAGGGCAAGATCCCAGCGGAGGCCTTCAAGCAGATCCCCTGAAAGAAGCCCTTCCACGTCTTCTTTGTCTTCGCTCACATCCTCTTTGTTTCCTCTCTTCACCAGCCGAAGGCCATGCCCAGGAGCAGCGTTGGAGGCCTGGCCGATCAGGAAGCCAAAGTTAACTGGCAGGCTGCAATGCCATAACCACCCGAAGAGCCACTTGCCCTGTGTATTTGCCCCACTCATGATCCCTGTTTATTTTCATAATAAAGAGTGACGTTGCACGGTGTACGTTGTGTGCCCTGGATTGCTCTTCTCCTGCCCCAACCATGCACCAGTGGGGCCAGGGCTGAAAGCCCTGCATACCTGTTCGCCCCTGGCTGGCCTTAGCAGGTACATCAATCTGGCTTTCCTTCGTAGGTAATTTTTTCAGTAAACCCTGATGAGAAAGGACACATGCTCCTTCCAGAGACTGACCTTGAGAGACAGTGGAACCCTGCCAGATGCTCGATCTGGAGGCCCACAGAAGCAGGCATGTTACCTTGGCACACCAGGAGCTTTCATCCACAGTCTCGACCCCTCCCTTTCCCGAAGGTGCACTATTCGAGGAGGAGCCTGAGGTCAGCACCTGCAGGGGGAAGAAGACTCAGCCCATTGGCCCAGCGCACTCCTCAGAGAGCTGACATCGGGTGCTCCATGTCCATGGTCTCGACGGTGTTCAGCCATTTATTTTCACATCTAAACAAACAGCAGTAGCATAGAATCTCACCTTATGGTCAGTTCTCAATGACTGGCATTTAGCAGTTGTTGAGAACTGACCGTAAGGTGGTCAGTTCCAAATTGCAGGCAGAGTTGAGCGGGACATTTGCCCAACTTATTGCCCACACTTCTGTGACGCTTGCACATTAGACAATCAGCAGGCATACTTTTCAAAATTAAAATAATAGCAGTATGACGTTGTCAAGTCATAGTCCTATAAATTATGCCTCCACTTTCGTGTTTGGCATACATTATTTCCTACCATTTGCACCTTTCAGCTCTTTATGTACATGTACATTAGGGATCCGTATGTTGGAGTGTGAATTTCTTAAAACTAGGAACTAAGGGGATAGTTGTCATTACAAAAAGAATAACGCCCATCTTGTTCTTCCTTGCAGTGCCTTAACAGTCAAAGGCAAGCTCCTGTACCTCTCTAAGCCTTGGATTAAATGGATCATTGCATTGAAAGCACTCAGAGCAAATCTGTATTAGTGCATTTTCACATCACTATAAAGTACTACCCAAGACTGGGCAATTTATAAAGAAAAGTGGTTTAACTAACAGTTCTGCAGTCTGTAAAGGATGCGTGGCTGGGGAGACCTCAGGAAACTTACAATCATGGCAGAAGTCAAAGGGCAAGCAAGGCACATCTTACGTGGTGGCAGGAGAGAGAGAGAGAGAGAGAGAGAGAGCGAGAGAGAGAGAGACGGAGAAAGTGCCACACTTAAACCATCAGGTCTTATGAGAACTTACTATCATGAGAACAGCAAAGGTTAATCTGCTACTTTGATCCAATCACCTCCCACCAGTCCCCACCCCTGACACTTGGGGATTATAATTTAACATGAGATTTGTGTGGGGACATGGAGACAGACCATATCAAACGCCCAGCATCTTCTAGTGATGAATATGCGTTTGCGTCGTTCACTGTATTGATTGCTACTCCTCCCCACCATCCAAAAGGAGAGTTGTGTGAATGGGGTGTGCACTGCCAGGCAATGTAATTGTTCTGTGGTGCTGCACTTTCATCTTTGTTTGGAACAGACTGGTTGGCATACAGCTTAAAGGGAGACTGTGAAAAGCTCAGGAGCAGTCCCAGATTTGTAACATTATTTAATATAAAACAGATTTGGCATTTCCAATCCGTGCATTCAGATGCATTGTTCTAGAAATGAGACAGGTGCATCTATAGACGGTTGGATAAAAATCAAACTTCAATACTTTCCCCATAGCAAAATATTTAATATTAATTAAAACATCAACAAAACAATAAAGCACAAAACTGTGTATATATCACAGTTCTATGAAATGTCACCACAATACACTTGCAATATATTTGCATGAATGCAAGCAAACAAAAAATAAAGGAATGAAACGCAGGAAAATGTTAACAGTTCTTTTTCCAACGATGATGGTTGCTGGTTATTGATATTTTCATCTCTATAATTAGCAGTATTTTAGTCATTTGGTAACATGAGTATACATTTATGACACAATAAACCTTCAGCTTCTAAAATTTTTGTTACTAATCCAACACATCAAATAAGCAAAATGTTATAGAGAGCCACGAAGTCAACACTTGTGTATCCACTACCCAGATTAAGCAATAAACTTGACAAATGTTAGAGCCCATCCCCTGATTTCAGTTGTCCTTCCTTTACTCCTCAGATGTAACTCATAACCAGAACGGGGTGTTTATATTCTCCATAAGTTGCTTCATAATTTTATCATGAACAAAAGCATTCTTAAGCAAGGAATATGTGAAAACAGAGTTGTTCTTCTCTCTGGAAGGTGGCCTGCAAAAAGATTATTGATGTTTTCACGAGGATTTTAATCAGTAGGTACTTTATCTAATTTAATCCTTACAGCTATTCAAGTTACTGTTCATTGTTGATATTATTCAGCTGAGGGTACAGGAGTTATGAGAAGTTAAGCAACTTTCCCTAGAGAAACAAACTTGTAAATTAATGTCCAGGAACTCAAAACCTATAATTACACAGAGCACCATTATTTTTCTGCTCTGTTATCTGGGAAGTCAATCCATGAACCTAAGTGTTTTGTTTAGGGTTTCTCTTTAACAATGAGAATTACTGCTTCTCTCTCTCTCTCTTTCCACACAACATTTCAGTTAATGATGGACCACATATATGACAGTGGTTCTACCAGATTATAATGGAGCTGCCCTATACAGGTAACTATTTTTTATCTTTTATATACTATTTTTATGGTACCTCTTCTATGTTTAGATACACAAATACTTACCGTTGTGTTACCATTGCTTAAAGTATCCAGTACAGTAACACACTGTACTGATTTGCAGCCTAGGAGGAATAGGTTATAGCATATAGCATAGGTGTGTAGTAGGCTATACCATCTAGTTTTGTGTAAGTACACACTATGATGTTCGTACTGTTATGGGATCTTTGAGGTGTCACTTTTCTGGCTAAAAACCTCTGTGGCTGGTGGCACCTTTGCTTGAGTTTTTCTCGGGCCCACTGTGCTCATTCCACCCACTCGACCTGGCAGACTGCACTTGTCTCATGCTACCGGCCTGTGTCACACACCTGCCATGGGAGACTGCATGGAGCAGGGAAGGGTGTGTGAGCAAGTGTGTGGTCCAAGCACTGTGCAGTCAGAAATGGCCACTGCTGCAGGCAGGGTGGGGAGCTCCAGGTGCCAGCATGTGTCAGCTGTCCACTAAGCTGCAGCTAGACTAGGTGCACCAGAGCTTCCACAGTTGGCACTGGGGACCCCAGTGGTGCCTGGAAGCTGGGAGACGCCAGGAACTTCACTGACTCAAAGACAGAGTCACAGCCCTGGCTCAGTAAGCTCCTTAGCCTGGGTTCCCCAAATGGCCACAGCTCTTCTTTCCTTCTCTTCACCTGTAACATGGTGAGCAAGGGGCATGTCTCAGCCCTGTTCGTGTTACAGCTTCTTTACCCTCATTTGACGGGACCTGAGTTCTTGTCTTGTGCCCAGGAAGATAAGGTATGCAGACAAGTGGAGGGTGAGCAAGATGAAGAGGAGCTCTATTGAGCAATAGAACAGCTCAGAGGAAATCCACAGGGGACATCTCGTTTCTACAGCCAGGGTGTTCCAATGAGTGTTCCTCTCCTAGCATAGAGGGTAGCTCCTCTCTGCTAGGCAAGTCATCTCAACAAGTGTTCAGCTCTCAACAGAGTGTAGCTCCTGTCTGCCGCTGGTCCTTCCATCACCTGGACAGCTCTCAGCAGAGGAGACCCTAGAGTGGGTGGCTCCTCTCTGCAGGCAGGTCATCCCATTGTCTCTGCAGCTGTCAGCAGAGAGCAGGCCTTAAAATGGGTTGCTCCTCTCTGCAGCTGGTTATCCTGATAATTACTCAGCTCTGGCTGAGCCCAAGGCTTTTATGGTACTCAGAGGAGAGGAAGTGTGAGCTGATAGGTCCATGGGCAGCCATGGGCAGGCCCAGAGAAGGCACCACAAGTTCCCACTCAAGTCCGATGGACTGGCAGCCCTAACCCAGCCCAAGTCTGGGCTGCCAGTTCCCAGAAAGGGCACGACAAGTACTCAGTCTGGTCCACGGGACTGACAGCCCAGACTTTGGGTACCAACGAGCATAGGAGGGAAACCAAGGGGTGGCTGAGGGCAGTTCCATCCTGGCCTGCAGCTGCCCCTTGGCACCTACAGTCTGGGCAGCGTGAATGGTAGAGGAGGCAAACAGGTTCCTGGACAGAAAGTGTTAGGTCCCTAGTGAGGGACTGCAGATTTATCTGAGTTTTTTGCACTCCACATATAACTAAGCAAAAAGCCATAAAAGGAGGCACCCAGAAACATTTCATCTTCCAGATGTCAACTTCTCTCCAATCTCTACTTGCTTTTGGTCTCTCTCAAGGGCTGTAAAATAATGAATAATAAATGTTAATTTTTCTGTGACACGGATACAGAAAATAAACACTATTAAATGTTAGTGTGAAGCACCAAGAATACAGAAATGTCGTTATTAAGGTACAAAAATGTATACATGATACAGTACTCTAAAAATACCATGATATGAAAATATGTACCATGATGCTCTCATAAATATTCTAAGGAGACAAATAGGTATTACAGAGAAAGTTTTTTTAAAAGTTTTATTGACACATAATGATTATACACATATACGGGGTACACGTAATATTTTGGTACATACATATAATGTGTAATCATCTAATTAGGATATTTTAAATATCCGTTTTCATGAAATTTTATAATTTCTTTGTGTGGGGAGTATTTCAAATCTTCTAGCTATTTTGAAATATAAAATAAATTGTTAACTATAGTCATCTTATTGTGCTATCAAACAGTATGGAGGTTTCTCAAAAAACAAAACGTAGAACTGCCATATGATCCAGCAATCACACTACCGGGCATTCATTCAAAGGAAAGGAAATTGGTATAACAAAAGGATACCTACACTCCCATGTTTATTGCAACACTATTCACCATACCCAAGATAGGGAATCAACTTAAGTGCCCATCAACGGATGAATGGATAAAGAAAATGTG